CACGATTTCAACTTCATGCAGTTGAAATTGTGAATTCGTGAAGTAAAAACAGAATTGTTGACAATTTATTTAATACATATTATATATATATATATACCTACGAAAGACCGGTGGGGACATTTCAACTTCATGAATTCCTGATTTCAGATTCATGAATTCTCGATTTCAACTCCAAGAATTCATGATTTCAACTTCACGAATTCACGATTTCAACTTCACGAATTCACGATTTCAACTTCACGAATTCACGATTTCAACTGCATGAAGCTTAATAATAATAATAATAATAATAATAATAATTAATAATAATAATAATAGTAATAATAATAATAATAATAATAATAATAATTATAAAAATAATAATAATAGTAATAATAAAAATAATAATAATAATAATGATGATGATGATGACAGAAGGAATGCGAACATACGACAGATTTTATGTGTCGTATTTTCGCCCTCCTTCTGTCGTATTTCTGTCGCTTTGTTGGCCCGAAAAAGCGAAAACATGAAGAGACGACAAAAGTCCAACTTTGTCGTCCCTTCGTGTTTTCGCATTTTTGCATTTTGAGGCGAAGAAGCTTAAATACGACAGGGCATAAATCAGCCACCATAGTTTTTACTAGTCTTGTGATGCCACTACGTTTCAATTAAAAACAAGTTAAATGTTGATGCTGCACATCAAACACGCTGCCAAATGATGTGAACAGTCACATGCAATGTACAAAATCAGAATTGAAAATCGTTCTCTATTACAGTTGAATATCCGAAGCAATTATTAATTTTTTCTCCGTGTTCTTGGTATGTGTCTGAAATTCTGAAATATTTGTCTGTTGCGATATAGATTGAAACGTTTGGTCGAAGCAAAATAAATTCGATGTTGAACTCATTCACTCCAAATTCTGTAGAAAGGTATTATCTGTCAAACGCTCTACAAATTTAGACGCTCTTTACGGCGAATTAGCTAGAATCCCGATGAGAATTCATAGGCAATTAATAAGGGTAAAATATTGGATAAAATTATTGACATGTAAAAAAGAATCTCTTCTTTCATGCTTAAAGTCGATGTTGAAGGAAATAACACATATAATAAATGTAATTGGGCTTATCAAATTTAAATTAGACTTGATAAATGCGGACTTTCGTATATTTGGCAAAACCAATCTAGCATGTTAATTGACTACAATATTATTGAACGACGCATATTAGATATGTTTTATCAAAGTTGGTATTGTTCTATCGATAATTCTAGTCGTCTAGATACATACAGTTCTATAAAATATAAATTTGAATTTGAATGTTATCTAGATTATATTAAGGACAAAAGATTTCGAGTTGCGCTTACAAAATTTCGCACATCATCTCACGACTTGTTTATTGAAAAGGGAAGATATATAAACGTACCTAGACTGGAAAGAATATGCAATAATTTTTCTTCGAGACAAATGAAAACGAATTTCAATATGCTGAAAAATATCTTAGACGCTACTATTATACATGGCCTACATTGCAGAAATTAAATAATTTATTATTGTCTGAATCTAAAATAATTGTAAGAGATCTTTCTTAATATTTATATTAAGCAAATTTGATTAGAAAAAAGTTTTACAGAACCTCAAACACGTCATAATTATGAATTCATATGTTTTACATTGTATTTTTGTGATCCTTGAAAAATCCATGTCTTCTGCCTATAGTTATGTTGTATGTGCTATAAACATATATTGTATGTTTAACACAATAAAATTATTTGAGTTGAGTTGAGTTGCATATTCGTCTAAAATCTAGGTAATGGACCACAAAATGTAATAAACACGTTTTGCCTGTTTTGCAAAAGATATTTCCGCTGCGTCGGTAGCGCCAAAATAATCTCCGTTGCATATTTAAGTGATATTTCTTGTTCCCTGCCCGTTCCCGTCATTAGACTATAGACGGGTCTCAACGGTTAAGTTTTAGAACTATCGACTATAGACTGGCTCATTGGCACGTTATTTATTAGGTAGATAAAATAAGATAATTATAAAAAGAATATGATATTCAAACATGACACTATCACTTTAGTTTAACGTTATTTTAATCCTTCAAAGGTCTGTGACATGTTGTACACACAGGTGACAGCATCAGTGTTTGGACACCCACCCCTATCTGCCCCTGGACCCCTACTACAACCATGAAAAAAAATAATTCAACACTCTAAGGCTTACTATTAGGTACCAAATACAAAACCACCGATGAAATTATATAAAAAAAAATTTTCCACTGTCAAAATTATAGTTAAAGAAACGACGATTTCCCGTGTTCCACATTGTTTGGCAAATGAACATATAGTAGGCTTTTCACCTTTCTATAACTATAATTTTGATCGTGGAAAAATTTTTTTATATATAATTTCATCGGTGGTTTTGTATTTGGTACCTTATAGTAAGCCTTAGAGTGTTGATTTTTTTCAGGGTTGTAGTAGGGGTCCAGGGGCAGATAGGGGTGGGTGTCCAAACACTGATACTGCCACCTGTGGTTGTACATCAGAAAAGCTATTTCTATAAGAAAATTTGAAAACAATTGAATTTTGTTAAAACAAAAAAATTCACACAAAATCAAGTATAAAATTCCCCCATTGCTATACGGACAAATTCATATCTACTAGACGGCGCGTGCACGCGCCGTCTAATTATCTTTATTTATAACCATTATTTCTAAATATAACAAAATGGGAAACCATGACAGGTTTTGATCCTTTAGCCGATTATTCGTAATTTTATTTGAAATTAATCGACTTTTTCAATCGTATTTTATTATATATCAATCAATTTTATCAAAAAGAATAAAATTTTCTTCGTTTAAACAAAGTGCATTAGAAGAAAATTATTTCCCCTGGTTTTGTTCCCGTCGGATCACACGAGGGCGCTATTCGCGCCAAAATCAGCACGTGATTTTCGGAATAGCGTTGCAAATTCATTCAGCGCTTGGTTAATCGACTGTCAACATGTCCGAAGAAGAAAATTCAATTCCTTTTCAACCTACCGATAACGGTTCAACTCTACAGGCTCAATTAGCTGAGATATCAAGGCAGCTTTCTTTACAAAGGCAAGACGTAACAGAATTGAGAGAAGAGGTACGTGGCAAGAATATTTCCGTCGGTAAAGAGGTGAAGAAAATCAAATCGGACATTGATATTACCTGGAAACGACAAGGTAACAAAGTTCAGTATACCTTTAACAGTGATATTATCGACTTACTGAATCAAGCCATTTGGGCAATTGACAATAACAAATACGCCTACTGCCGAGATATCATTTCCGAGACTTTGGACAAAGAGAAGCATCGTCAAAAGCTTATACGTATTGCAGATACGTCCGAAGCAGGCTGGGAAACGGTTAATTGCTATACTGCTAATCCACTGGCAAGCGATTCCGAGGATGAAACTAAACTCCGCAAAGCTGAGAATCAGGCTCTCAAGAAACGCAAATCAAAAACATCTAAACGTCTCCAGTCTTCTCGCAAAGTGCCACCGTCTTCTACCGTCACTTCCGGTGCACTTTTCAATAATCCTACTGCTTTTCGCAGTAATTCAGACGACATCTATCCGGTCCTGCCTGCTAGGGGAACAAGACCTTTTCGAGGCTTCAACAGTTTCACACCAAAGTCTTCAACTTACGGATCATGTTTCTCCTGCGGTTCATTCGATCACTTCAGGCGCTTCTGTCCCTATGTCAACGGTCCCATCGACGATAGATCAGCACGGTTTCCAGCCAAGAAGCAATGAAAGTCCTGGTCATTTATCTATGGAAGATGAGTATTATTCTCATATTATAAACTGTCATAATTCGCAAGAAAATATTTTAACAAATAACTATTTTGAATATGAATCTGGCCAAAAAGACATTATAGTACGTGGTCGACTGAAAAGTCATGTAGAATTCTGGATAAATATAGGTTCAAATTCTTTTGTAATAGATAAAATTAGACAAGGTTATAAAATACCGTTTTATTCTGTTCCTCATTCGTGTTTTTTGCCTAACAACAAGTCCGCTTTAGAAAATCAAATTTTTGTTAGCGAAGCTATATCAGATTTATTGGACAGAAATTTAATTGAGTTGTGTGATAACATTCCATTTACTGTTAATCCGCTTACTGTGTCAACTAGAGATAACGGTAAAAAGCGTTTGATTCTTGATCTCAGGGAGGTTAATAAACATCTATGGAAACAATATTTCAGGTATGACGATCTCAGGGTCGCATTGTCATTTTTAAATAAACAATGCTGGATGATAAAATTCGACATACATTCGGCATATCATTTTATAGATATTTTTCCACAGCATACTAGATTTTTGGGTTTTTCTTGGCCAGATAAAAATGGTGTTGTTAGATACTATAAATTTTTAGTGTTACCTTTTGGACTTTCCACTAGTCCGTATGTTTTTAGTAAAGTTACACGGCCATTAATCGCTAAATGGAGATCTGAAGGTAAAAAAGTTTTAATGTTTTTAGACGACGGTTTTGGTTGTGATTCAACATCTGAAAACACTTTAGCTTTAAGTGTTGCAGTTAAAAATGATCTTTTATTGTCCGGTTTTATACCCAAAAATGAAAAATGTGTATGGACACCTGTCCAACATTTACAGTTTTTAGGATCAGATATTGCATCAGATTCGGGAATTATTTCTATCCCTCAAGTAAGAATTGATAAATGTTTAAAAACAGTTGAAAAAATAAAATTTGGTATAATAAAACATAGCCGGGTACCTGTTCGTTTGCTAGCTAGCTTCATGGGTCAAGTCATCTCGATGTCAATAGTGTTAGGTTACGTTACACAAATTATGACCAGGTATTTAAGTATTGACTTAGTAAAGTCGCCTCATTGGGATTTCTTTATAAAACTTTCGCCAGAAAGCAAAGATCAATTAAAATTCTGAGAACAGGAGTTAAAACATTTGAATTCCAGAAAATTGTTTGATATTATTTCCTGCAATAAAATAGTTTATTCAGATGCAAGTTGTATGGGCTACGCTGGCTTTGAGGTAAATACTTCAGGAAGTATAGCACACGGGGTTTGGTCACCCGATGAGATTACTCAGTCTTCCACATGGAGGGAACTTATTGCTGTTTATAGAGTGTTAAAATCTATACCACAAGTACTTCGTTTTCAAAAGGTTAAATGGTTTACTGATAACCAGTCTGTTAGTAAAATTGTAAAGAAAGGTTCCATGGTTCACGATTTGCAGAGTATAGCTATAGACATTTATAGGTTTTGTTTGAATAACTCAATTTTAATTGACATTGAATGGATACCTAGATCTGAAAATGAAAAAGCAGATTATCTTTCAAAAATTTGTGATTTTGACGACTGGGGTATTTCAGATGAAATATTAAACGCGGTGCAGAGAAAGTGGGGTAATTTAGAGGTAGACTGGTTTGCTTCGGATAATAATGCAAAATTGCCAGTATTTTATTCCAGATTTTGGAATGTTAATTCTAGTGGCGTAGATGCATTTACGGAAGACTGGTCAGGGAAGTTTGGGCTTTTTGTTCCACCTATATCCATAGTATCGGAGGTTCTTAAGAAAATGTACACAGATAATGTTCAAGGTGTTCTTATTATTCCTCATTGGGTTTCTGCTAGATTTTGGCCTATTTTGTGTCCAAATGGGAAATTTATTAAGAACGTGGTTGACTGGATATTGTTGCCGACGGAAAAAGAATTTTATACATGTTGTAAAAATGGCAAGGGAATTTTTGGAAATCAGAATTTGCATTTCAATATGCTTGCTATAAGAATATCATTTAAATAATTCTATAGAGATATAGGAAGCTAGATATATTTTATTCGTTTGTTATAAGTATTTTTATAATAATTTTATACCGCATTGTTTTGAATCTTTCATAGCTAGGTTTTGCAGCCATGATAATAGCAAGAATTTACAGCCATAATAGTAAGCTTTGCAGTCTTGATAATAGTAAGGCTTTGCAGCCGTAATAATAGCAAGGCTTTGCAGCCATGATAATAGCAAGGCTTTGCAGCCGTGATAATAGCAAGGCTTTGCAGCCATGACCATAATAGCAAGGTTTTGAAGCTATGATAATAGTTAGGCTTCGCAGCCATGATAATAGCTATGTTTTGCAACCAAGTTAACAGTTAGGCTTTGCAGCCGTGATAATAGCCAAACAAGTTTTTAAAACGTTTTGTACTCGGAATAATAGTTCGATTAATCAATCATGATCATAATCAAATGGTAATTAAGGTTCTATAATCATGATATTAGTTATGTATTACATTTTGTATATAGGCTTTGCAGCCATGATAGTAGTAAATTTACACGAGTTTTGACTCAATGTAGTTTTTGTATAGATTACTGCAGCACTGCAGTTATGTACGATTAAGTATTGTACTCTGAGTCGTATTTTCTCTTTATAACAATTTCTTATATCTGGAGTTTTTATTTCACAATGTTATAAGCTTTAATTTTTATATTAAATAATGTAAGTTCCATTGGTATAATATACATTCATATCGATTTATACATGTAAACATTGATTTGTTAATTCATGTTTCATATATTTTGATTAGAATATTTAATTTAAAATATTTTTTTTACGTTTATTTTTTCAGTGTCATAAAAAAGATATAGACGAGCTTCCGGTTAAGCTGGTGGATAAGGTGACCCTATTGCCACAGATACTTCAACATTCTAGAGCCTTTAGCACGTGCAAAAATTATAATAGTGCGTTTAATAGATGGATTAAGTGGGCCATGTTAAATGATCTGGGTAGTGGGGACATTTTGCCCGCCAGTGAGTTGCCGTTAGCCATATATTTGACTTCTTTAATACAAAGTTCTTTCACTCCGAAGCCTGTAGAGACAGCATTTTATGCAATAAAATGGATTCACGAGATTAATGGTTTAGATCCACCTACTGACTCTAGTATGGTAAAAAATGTTTTACAATCAGCAAAGCGTATTTTGTCAAAACCGGTGCTTAAAAAAGAACCGATTACCGTAGAATTACTTTCTTCTATTTTTGATAATTTGTATGTTGATAAAAATCTTAAGTCACAGAGAACTATTTGTGCTTTTCTACTTTCATTTTCTGGATTTTTAAGAAGTTCTGAATTGTTATATAAAAGATGTGATCTAGATTTTTCAAGTACACATATGAAAATTTTTATTGAGTCGAGTAAAACAGATCAGTATAGAGATGGATCTTGGGTTATAATAGCAAGAACAGGCACGAAATTATGTCCAGTCACTAATATTGAAAAGTATCTTGAATGGGCTCAATTTTCTATGGACTCTTCATGTTTCATTTTTTGTAATCTGAGCGCTACTAAAAATGGTTATAAGTGTAGGAATGTTAACAGAGCAATGTCATATAGTACTTTGCGAGATTTATTTAGGAATGCTTTAACTCCATTTGTAACAGATATAAACAAATATTGTTTACATTCGTTAAGGTCAGGTGGCGCAACCGCTGCCGCTAATAAAGGAGTCAAGGATAGAATGTTCAAACGACATGGTCGTTGGTTAAGTGAAAAAGCTAAGGATGGCTATGTAAAAGATAGTTTGGATGAACGATTATTCGTTTCTCGGTGTTTAGGTTTATGATATTTACAATCGGTTCGTTGATTATAACATTTTTGATCATTTGGAACACGTACTCTTTATATTCATTTCATGCTTTATCCCGTTCTTTGAGTTCAGCTATAACCAAGTCGCTTGTAACACATTAAACGTTATTTCATAACTAAATTGTTCTGTTGTTCATTCTATATATTTTGTAAAGATAATGGTTGTGATCATATTGTATCCGTCGGGGACGATTTGAGGGGAATAAAATTTTCTTCGTTTAAACAAAGTGCATTAGAAGAAAATTATTTCCCCTGGTTTTGTTTCCCGTCGGATCACACGAGGGCGCTATTCGCGCCAAAATCAGCACGTGATTTTCGGAATAGCGTTGCAAATTCATTCAGCGCTTGGTTAATCGACTGTCAACATGTCCGAAGAAGAAAATTAAAATTTTTATTATATATAAGTTTTGTTAAGGATTTTAGACAATAGATGTACGTGTTCCATCTTTTTTAATAATATGTCTTGTACTTTGACTGAAGTTATTTACATGTAATTTATGAAACGATATAAATTAATGTATGCTATTTGCAAATGAGGGTTTATTTGTACATATATATGTTGGTTCATTTCATGTACAGTCAGCTATAACCAAGTCGCTTGTAACACATTAAACGTTACTTCATAACTAAATTGTTCTGTTGTTCATTCTATATATGTTACAGTGTGGAATTTATATAGATGAGTCTGACCTAAATTTAGTGGCCTCATCCCTTTCAATCATTAAAATTTCATGACAACTAAATATAATAAACACTAACCTTTGTGTGAGAGGTCAAAATTAACAAGTTTCATTGGCTAACAAATAAATAACATCTCACTTTTTCACGTTTGGCGGGATTTGTAAAAAATATTCACTTCGGTCAGAGAAATTGTTTGAGAAGGATGGTCTCAAGCCATCCTTGATAGATCTACATTTTGTTTGAACTCATCTTTACTTTACAGTCAGGTAAATCCCAGGTTGTCCCTGTCCTTTGTCCTTTTTAATTTGGTTATGTAAAATTATGGTTAAATTCATTTTGATCCAGATATTTTCCATACCATTCTGAATCAGCTGTTTCTCAGCTGACTTGAGTTTTTATAATTTTTAGAATACAGCTTCATAAGTAAACATTTATCTACATTTGAAATTAATTACAATTAATTTGCTTTTGTTTGCTTATGCTTGCTAATGTTTGCTCTTTATTTTGCTTTTATTATTTTGCTTATTTATGCTTTTTGTGTATTTGTAGGACACCCTTTTTATTACAACTTGAAGTGAACCTACAAACAATAAAATATTATTATCAACTGTGACACCCTCAGAATTATTTATTTACTCCTGAAACTATCAACTGTCACATATATTTTGTAAAGATAATGGTTGTGATCATATTGTATCCGTCGGGGACGATTTGAGGGGACTTCAATCCTTTTCCGTTTCTGGTTATGGCAGTGTTGATAAATTTGTAAACAAAAAGTTGAAATATGATATAACAAGTGCTTGGATACAGAAATGGGCTAAAGGAACATAGTTATGAAGTAATGAAGTTATGAACTGTAATCTGTTATACTGAAATGACTCTCTTCTTGATTTCTGAAAAATGTACACATTTTGACACTTTGTTACCCGTGATTTTCGTGCAACGTGCTGTTACGCGCTCAATTTTAAATCTATACTGAGCGGCAAAAGTTTGTTACCGACTCTGAAGGCGCTAAATGCTCAACACCTATATCAGAAGTCAAAAAAAGGGAACTTTCCTCACCTATAGATTGTACCGACATTAAAAGACCTAAATCGTCTGAAACTCATATTTTCCTGTCAAAAGAGGACATTGTAATAATATTACTGAAATGTTTTAATAAAAGATGAATTTACGTAATAGTTGTATTTATGGGGAAAATTTTTGTTTTTAATATAAAGTATATATAAAATCAATTTCATAGTAACGCGCCTGACTAAATTGATTCATAATTTTACTCAAAAAATAAAAGCGCGTTATGGACTTGTTATCTAACACTTATCATAAATTATTATACTTTCTGGTACATTTTGCCGGAATTTATTTACATATGCTACTTTTGGCTATTTTTGCGAAAGCGTGGCAAGAAACAAGTTATTCTGTTTTATAAATCAATTACTATAATTACATCAGTATATTTTAGCATTTTTTTATTTAGCTAAATCCGATATGAGATTTTTGGGATTTTTTTTTATTTAATATAAGGTAACACCGTAACATGTTAAGATTTATAGTATGGATTATTCCCCTTCCTTTATTTCTTAATATATTGATATAACAGATGTTATATTATATTGAGGAATGCTTTTTGTTAAATGAAAATGTTTCTTTAAATGTACATTGTTAAATGTTATTATGTAACTAGAACTGTATTGATATACATGTATGTTGTTTTAACATTGTATATTCTCTTAACTAGAAGTATTTCGGTACATACAGTGTCAATTGTTTTTACCGGAGAAGTAACACATAGTACTTTGAATTCTCTTAATGAAGTATTTTGGCACACGCAATATCTAATTTTTTTCTTACCTGAGAAAGATCATGAAGTACATTCTTATTGTATACTTATTATACTTATTATATTATACTTATTATCATACTTATTGTATTTTTGTTTTTTTTCTCAATAAGTGAACAATTATTTTCATTTCAAATTGAAACTAAACATTTTTGTAAGCCTAGTTCATACCATATATCTACTTACGCATATCTGTTTCGTGTCAGTATGCACTATGTACATATCTTTTCTTTTTTTTTCTTTTTCTGTAAACTTATAAATCAACATCATCTATATTTATGTTATTTTATAATAGCTTCTTTTTGTAACATTTGGATTGGTTTACATAGCATTTATGTTGCTTTTTTCACTTTTGTGCATGTATGCATGATTGTGTTTTACATGTTCTTGTTATCATTGTCAACAGTTTCATAGCTATTTACAAATTCCCCTACACGATCGTGCATGTTCTTGGATCAAACTTTCACAAACACATTTCGCCCTAACAAATATCTTTATATCTTTTTATAATGTAGTTTATGTATTTTTTCTAAATTGTACTATTGGTAATTGCCGGTGATGTTCATCCAAATCCATGCCCATCAGTAAATTCAGACAGCTCATTTTCTTCTTCTAGAACAACTACACTATCAGAATTAATGAAAAGTTCAAGTTGTCTCTCTTTTTTACACTAAAAACTCATAAGTAAAATTGATATCTTGGGAGCAGAAATAGGTATGTTTGATATTCTGGCGTTCACTGAAACATGGTTAAACTCTAACATTTCACAAACTGAAACAAACATTCCATCCTTTCATACTCAAGAAAGAAAAAATAGGTTTGAAAACAACTATGGAGGTGTAATTTTGTATGTGAAGGAAAACCTTCACTATAAACGGAGGTTAGACCTCGAACCTTGAGGATTAGAATGAATATGGATTGAAATCATGCCGTCTCATTCAAAACGTATCCTATGTGCTGTCTTTTATCGTCCCCCAATTCAGATACTTCCAATACTAATCTAATTGAAGAATCTATCAGCCTAGCCCTTGATACTGGAATATCAGACATTATTGTAACTGGCGACTTTAATTTTAATGAAACGATTCCACAAATGACCCGAACATTAAACTCTATCTGTTTGCAAATTAAACTTGAGCAAATTATATCTGAGCCTACCCACTATTCCGAGTCATCTTCTTCTATACTTGACCTGATCTTAGTATCTAGTAGTCAAAATGTATTAAAATCTGGGGTAGGTGAACCAGTTCTAGACCAGAATCTAAGGTTTCATTGTCCTATTTATGCCTTTCTAAAGTTTTCAAAACCTTGTGTTAAGTCTTTCAAACGTCTTGTATGGCTGTATGACAAAGATGACTTTAATTTACTTAGAGATAAAATTTCTGCAACAGATTGGGATCAATTTAAGGACAACGATATCAACAACAATGCTTCCTCATTTACAAACATTATAGTTAAACCTGCAAAGCAGTGTATATTAACACGAAACATAAATGTATAACCAAATGATAAACCATGGATATCGTCACACATTCAAAAGACAATTACTAAACGCAAAAAAAATATTACCATAGAGCCAAATTAACACAAAATCCTCTTCACTGGCATAAATTTAAAACAATAAGAAATGAGGTCGTATCTCTAATTCGCACTGCAAAACAGAACTATTTTCAAAAAATTGCCGATTCACTAAAATCAGAAACTCTAACATCAAAAGACTGGTGGAAACGCCTTAAAGATTTCATCTCTCCGGCTGATAAACAAACTATTCCGCCTCTATTCAATCCTGCTACATGTGAACTTGTTTTTGATTCAATTTCAAAAGCAAATATTCTGAATAAATTCTTTTTCTGCACAAGCTTCAATTAACAACCAAAACACTGAATTTTCTAGAAACCTTTGACAGTCTAAAGAAAAAACTAGAAATGTGTTGCATATCCCCTCAAGATGTAGAAGACGCTCTAAAATCTTTAAAAACAAACAAAGCTTCAGGACCATATGGAATAAATAACAGAATACTACGAGAAACTGCATCTGTTCTTAAACACCCCCTTTTGTTCTCTATTCAATCAATCTCTCCAATGCAGTACGGTACCCCTAATGTGAAAAGATGCAAATGTAAGAGCAGCCTTTAAGAAAGGTGACCCCTCATTACCGAACAATTATCGACCAATATCTTTACTTTGTTGTACAGAAAAGGTACTTGAGCGTATTATATTTAAGTATATTTTTAACTTATTTTCGTGATAACAAATTTCTTTCTTCTGTACAGTCTGGCTTTACACCAGGAGACTCAACAGTCAATCAGCTTACTTATTTATACAATACCTTTTGTAAGGCACTCGAGGACGGATTAGAAGTAAAAACAGTATTTTTTCATATAAGTTAAGCTTTCGACAAGGTATGGCATGATGGTCTTCTCTATAAATTAAAAAATGCTGGATTAAATGAAAAAT